ATTTGTACACTGGAACAGGAATGTCAAACATGTAAAACAGTGATAGCTATAAGAATGACAAAGAGTGAAATTTCTTTATCTACATTACACAACGATTGCACCCTCTTACGACATGTTGAATTACGATAGCGTAGAAAAGCTATTATTGCGCAATATTGCGCAATACTTTGAAATTGAACAGATCAGCAGTGATGAGAGAAAGCATTGGGTTTGAAAATGCACAAACTATAGCATGCTGTGAAGTAACTGATAGCATAAAGTAAATAATCAGTCTCGGACAAAGTGCAAAAACTCGGTCGTTGTCTGATGCAAATTTTTGCTGCCACAGCTTCCAATCAAACAATCGATGAGCGCACTCTATAGCTTATTGCCAATCTCGAATAACAAAATTCTGCTCTATAAATGTTTTCTCAATGTACTAGAAAGGCACAGAAATTGTCAACATGTTTTTTAGCTTCATGTTTTTAGCTAATTATAGTTTATTCTCTGAAACACGTAATGTATTGTTCTTTTCAATTGTGGTGGTTTCTCTTGTTTCTCTCAAAGAGATTTGCGCAAATTACGAAGTGAAGTCTACTACTCATCTACTACCTACCTTCTCATTTCTTAGAAGAAATTTTTTAAGTTTCGATGTTAGCCGAAGCTATCACATGAAGGTTTTCGCGACGATAAAAACATAACAATAACTTGTCAGACAACTTGGTTTGTGAAATACAGAAAGACAGGAAAAAACCACATGCATATAATCAATCTCATCATTTTCAGTGGAAAACAAGAAACAAACGAAAGAGATATGTAACAATATTATAATCGCAAAACACTTCAACGCTCATTACCCTTGCTAGTGCATTCCTTTACTACTCGAAAGAAACCATTATTATACGTGAGCAGTCCTAACTTCACCTTCCTCATCAAGAAAGCTGTCACAGTTTCCAATGAGGGTCCTTGTGTTGATGGCGATGAGAACATCCGGTAAATCCGCTGCATGCGCTCCGCCTTCACTTCTCCATTGTCATGATTAGCCTGGAAAGAAGTTGCGTATGACTGTTTTAAACCATGAACAATGAAAATCTAGTAAGAAGGGGAGGGAGAAAGGAGATATAAAGGTGTGTATAACCAATGCACAAGGTAGATGAGATCGAGCAAGCTACCCCTATATTGTCCAAGACTTTATAAGAATATAGTATAGGAACTATGACATTCCTGCTGAGCATGAAGATTTTGCTAAGACTATCGAGATAAAAACAAGAGCTTTAATTCTAGTCAGAATCATGCTTGGACATGTTAACAGGAACATAACCAGACACGTGTACGTCGTAAGTAAGATTTAAGAATGAAAACGTGAGAAATTATATAAATTATAGCAATAACTTTTTAAAGGTCCTAACCACTAAAAGTTGAGATATCCCTTTAAATGACTCACTATGAAATTTTTCGTGTAGCTCCAATACTGCTCCAAAGCATCGATCGCATCTGCT